GCTGCCCTGGCGGGGTCATGGTGCTCACGATCCAAGCACGCAATCTGTCCGGACGTTGGCGGTGAAATCGGTTTGCAGTTGCCGAGAGCTCCGAGCCGGCACTATCAAATATTGCACACTGTGTAACTATTTCCAGCATGCTAGACTGGGCAGGAACAGTCCGTTGTTTTTTGCGACCGTTTCTAACCACCGCGCTGGAACGGTCCCACGTAGGCCTGCGGGCTGCGTGGCGGCCGGCTTGTTGCGGCGCGATTCTGTCGTGAGGAAGTGTGGGCTCGGTCGGCACTCTCTGTCGTGGGGGTTGCTTTGCGCGCTACTTAACCTGTGCCGAACGGACAATGAAATAACGAGGGGTGCCTAGTGTGCCTCGGTTGAACTAGATATGCTGCCGCTCCAGCCGGAAAACAGCGGATAGAGCAGTTGTAACTCCACCGCATGTGGCAACGATCCTAGTTCAAAGTACTGCAGGCAAAGCGCCGACGTTTTTCGGTTTCAGGACGGCTGGCTGCCAATTAACCCGCTAGAGACTCTCTTCCGTAGCGGATTTGGCGGAAATCATACAGCTAGATAACAGACATTAACGAGCCTTGTACGCTCGGATGCGAACCGGTTCGGCACCCGGAGCCTGCCTGCATCAAGAAGCACTGGCGAGCTGCAATTGCGTGTGAGGACACTCTATGACCGCAGGCTTCCTTTTCTGGCAATTCGTGCCGATGCTGTGCTGAATGTTGGAGAAGAGTTTCCGTCTCGGTCTTCATCCGTGGCACTTCGTCGACATACGGCTGGTCGCCGTTGTCGGGGTTGGTGCCCACTATGTACATGGATGAAACGACTTGCTCGTAGTACTTTTCGAGGATGAGCCTGTAGACGTTCAGCTGAATGCGATAATGCCAGAGGGTGCCATCGGGTATGCTGCTCAGTGGTTCTCGCATGAACTTGCCGAAAGCCTCTTCGCTGAATCGGGTTCTTCTTGTACGCTTCCAGTCCACTATGACCTTGCTGCCGTCTGTTCGTTCCGCCACGAAATCGATGCTGCCTGCGACGTCAACACACATGTGTGTGTCGGGGAACACGCATGTGTGTGCGGGGGAACACACATGTGTGTGCGGTGAAACACACATGTGTATGCGGGGAAACACACATGTGTGTGTGGGGGGACACACATGTGTATGCGGGGGAACATACATGTGTGTGCGTGGGAACACACATGTGTATGCGGGGAAACACACATGTGTATGCGGGGGAACACACATGTGTATGCGGGGAAACACGCACATGTGTGTGTGTGGGGGAACACACATGTGTATGCGGGGGAACACACATGTGTGTGCGTGGGAACATACATGCGTGTGCGGGGGGAGACACATGTGTATGCGGGGGAACACACATGTGTGTGGGGGGGAACATACATGTGTGTGCCGGGAAACACACATGTGTATGCGGGGGAACACACATGTGTGTGTGGGGGGGGACACACATGTGTATGCGGGGGAACATACATGTGTGTGTGGGGGAACACACATGTGTTTGCTATCGCAAAGCGATGGCGTGACCGCAGCCTCAGCTGCTTGCTGCTTCAAGATCCACGGTCGAAGGTGTGCTTGCCAGTGTGCCACAGCCACTTCATTGGCTTGAGATCGTTGTTGGTTAGTTGCTCAATGCGCTGCCTCCACGTCTCGGTTTTCGCTTTGGTCACCCTCCTATCCCGGACTTTAGATGGACCCGGTACGATGTGGAAACATTGAAAGACATGAAATCGAATTCGATGGCTGTGGTTGCTATCGTAAGGTTGGCGTGACCGCAGCCTAACTAGTTTGGGCAGTCCTGCTTTCTTATTCCTCGACAAACAAAGCTTGCCGAAGAGTGGCAACCAAACTTGACAGCTGTGGTTGGTATCGCAAGGCGATGGCGTGACCGCTGCCTGAACTGTTCGCGTCGGGTTGAGAGCCGTCGGCGTCGTATCTAGCCGCAGATTCGTCAATGTGTGGCTTCAGCAGGTTTACTTAGAATTTCGGTGAGTTGGCAACTCGGGGAACACACATGTGCGAGTCTGTGTAGGGGAGAACACACATGTGGGTGTGCGGGGGAACACACATGTGCGTGCGGGGGAACACACATGTGTTTGCGGGGGAACACACATGTGTATGCGGGGGAACACATGTGTGTGTGTGGGGGAACACACATGTGTATGCGGGGGAACACACATGTGTGTGCGGGGGAACATGCATGTGTGTGCGGGGGAAGGCACATGTGTATGCGGGAGAACACACATGTGTGTGCGGGGGAACACACCTGTGTGTGCGGGGGAACACGCATGTGTGTGTGCGGGGAAACATACATGTGTGTGCGGGGGAACACACATGTGTATGCGGGGGAACACACATGTGTGTGGGGGGACACACATGTGTATGCGGGGGAACATACATGTGTGTGTGGGGGAACACACATGTGTGTGCGGGGGAACACACATGTGTTTGCGGGGGAACACACATGTGGGTGTGCGGGAGAACACACATGTGGGTGTGCGGGGGAACACACATGTGCGTGCGGGGGAACACACATGTGTGTGCGGGGGAACATACACGTGTGTGCGGGGGAACACACATGTGTATGCGGGGGAACACACATGTGTGTGCGGGGGAACACACATGTGTCTGCGGGGGAACACACATGTGTGTGCGGGGGAACACACATGTGTATGCGGGGGAACACACATCTGTGTGCGGGGGAACACACATGTGTATGTGGGGGAACACACATGTGTGTGTGGGGGAACACACATGTGTATGCGGGGGAACACACATGTGTGTGCGGGGGAACATACATGTGTATGCGGGGGAACACACATATGTGTGCGGGGGAACATAAAGCCAAAAAGCCAAATAGCAGAAGAAAAAAAAGTGGAGGTTTGGAAGGGGTTTGGAAAAAGCTAAATATAGAATAGTACACAAATCCAGGAACACTACTCTCGCTGCATGCGAAGATGCGGGCCTGTCCGGCGCTCCATGTCTGCCTGCACCGAGAGACATTGACGAGACACTGACGGCACGTGATCGCTTCGACCACAAGCTCGCTTTTTGCTGCACGTTCCTGCCGATAGCTTGCTCAGTGTTGGAACAGAGCTTCGGTTTCTGTCTTCATTCGTGGTACTTCGTCGACGTATGGCTGGTCGCCATTGTCGGGGTTGGTGCCTACTATGTACATGGATGAAACGACTTGGCCGTAATATTTTTCTAGAATGAACCTGTATGCGTTCAGCTGAAGGCGGTAATGCCAGAGAGTGCAGTCGGGTACGCGGCACAGCGGGCTCCGCATGAACTTTCCGAAAGCCTGGTCGGTCAGTCGTGTTCTCCGTGTGCGCTTCCAGTCCACTAGGACCTTGCTGCCGTCTGCTTGTTCTGCCACATAGTCGATGCTGCCAGCGACATCTTCATCTTCCGCGTATACCCGCCATTCTGTGCGAAAGGCGGTCATACCCGGTTGGGAGCGGAGGAATTGTGCCAGCAGGGCCACCTCGTCCGTCCGACTGGGAAGCGATCCGCCGTTCAGTAGGTGTTCGAACTGCGCGTGCATCCACGTGCCTTCTTTTGCTCCGTCGTCTCGAGCTCTGGCCCATTTCTCCCGAATCTCGGTGGCCGAAAGGCCCAGCTCTGCCACGAGCTTTGTGATGGCATCGTCCTTCTGCGCCTGCGCTCGCAGCTGGTGGGCGAGTTTGCAGATTTGAAGCTCGTCTCGCTCGTCTCGTTGGAATTCTCGTTGGAGTTGCTCCGTGTCTCTCAGCTGTGCCAGTTCGGTTTTCTGGTGCTCGGAGAGAGTCGATTTGAGATAGCCTGGGCGTGGCCAGTTCGTGCTTCTCCTCATGGAGCTGATCACTTCATCTTCGGAGAATTCGTTCGTGAACTCATGCACCAGTTGCGTCACCGATCTCGCTACACGTCTTCCTCTCCAAAAGTAAGCGTGTTCTTTTGCTTCGAATGTGATGTGCTCGTCTCGCGGGTGACTGTTGGCATGCTGTAGGCTATCTGCCAGGACGCTCTCCGGAGGATCGATGGGCAACTCCGCTGGGCGGCATGGAAAGCAAAGCGGGTTGTCTCTGTGTGCCAGCTGTCGTGGTAGTACGTCTGGAAGTCCGAGCGACGCCAGGGTCACCGGCCGTGGCGTCTCTGAGTTCGGTCCCTTTTCGGTACAGTCAACGAGCTTTCGGCGCTTCGTTGATGAGGCCATGTCGGATACGTTGCCGATTGCACTACGCGGGGGCGTGTAGTGCCTTTAGTATGACTGCTTTACCTTCCCTGCCGGGCTGGTGTAGGAACAAGAACCAGGCTTGTCAAGCGGGTCCAGATGTCTGACTCGTATACCACGCTATGATGCGACCTTTGCTTGAACCGTGCAGACGGCTGTAAAGACGTACGTCAGCCTTACTTTGTTTTGACTCTTTGGAATTCTATGAGTGTTTCTTGCATCTATGCATGACGGCCTCGCTTCTCCTTGGTGGTGTTGGCCGTCATGGACTTTCGCCTGAGAGACTGGGATTGGGCTGGCGGTCCGTATGCCTGGGCTTGTTGCTGCAAGACCCATGATCCCAGCGCCTGTGCCAAGGCTGGTCGCGGAGTTTGCTGCTAACAGTGGCGAGTCTCGGGCCCGAGCTTTGTGCCGTCGAGGTACTCGGCATTGCCTGCGAAACGGTGTCGAGAGTCCATCGCCTAACCTACATATCCAGGATCATTATTGCAGAACTGAGTGAGGACACTTTTTTTTGTGCGAATCCCGGCTGTTTCTCGTCATTGACGGCTTGCTACTCTCTGTCTGCTCGGGCAACGGCTCATCAGATGTCTGTGCATGCAGTTGCGCATGATTGGAGTGTCGTTCGCTCTTACATGTTGCTGGGATGTAATCATGCCGAAGCCGTCGCCCGAGCTTCTTGTGCTGTTTCGCACCGGGCTCGTTGTTCTGGTTTCCGAGCACAGCACCCGGCGCATTCTGTACATGTTGATGGGTTTCTACTCGCGGGCACGAGCCTCGTGATCGACTCGGAATGGATCGCGGTGAGTGAGCGAGGGAATAGCCGGCTCAAGGCTGCGCCTCAGCTGTTGCCGCTGCAGAAAGGTCGGCAGTCGTTGACGTACGTCCATGGAGAGTCGTCCGTGCTGGTCTCTGCCCTGAGGATCGGCGCCGGCCGCCAACAGCAGCTTGACCCATGCGATACTGCCTCTATTTGCGGCCTGGTGCAGTAGACACTTGTCGGTTGTGTACGGCTGCACCCGTGCCTTCGCACGTACGAGACACGTGGCTGCCCGGAGCGCCTCGTGTTCGAAGGCTCGTTCGACGGGCCCGCGCTGCTGAGCATCTTGTTGATTGATGTCTGCATGGCTCCGTGCGAGGAGGCGGATCAGTGGCGCCGAGTTCGCTGACGTAGCGATGAATAGAGGGGTTTCTCTGAACGGGGTGGCCCGGTTGACATCCGCGCCGGCTTGAATGAGAAAGTTGGCCATCCGTGTGTTCTGACTTTCACAGGCTGCCATCAGCGGACTCTTGTCGAAATGCCTGCCATCGACGTCGGCGTGGCTTTCGATGAGTGCTTCTGCAATGCAAGAACATCCAAAGTTGGTGTGCGCGGCGAGGCTCAAGGGGCTGCATAGTCCGTAGACCGCCTCGTGGCGAATGATGCTGTTGGGGTCCGCTAGGTCTTCCAGCAAGCTGTGGACTGTATTGTACCGCTCCATCTTGATCGCTGTGGACAGTTCACGGATTCCTCCGTCTCGGTAATGTCGGACGACTGCCATCAGTTCGTAGTCTGTCGAGCCGACGAGGCATTCGCAGTCGGCCCAGGTCGTCCCGGGGTTGAACGGCGCTTGTACATAGTCTTCGACAGGATGAATGCTGATCCGGGTCGCAGGTACACGTAGGTGTAAGCTTGCGATCACTGCTACGTCGTCGAGAACCCGGCCTTGGTGGGTTTTGCGATCCGCCGGATTGATGCTGCAGATCCTCCGACCGCTGTAGGCACGAACGTGAAGCATGGCTGGCTCGCAACAGTATATGTGTGACAGACTCGGCCGGCTGCGGTACTGCGGTGATTTCCTCGAGCCATCGAACAAGATTAAGCGTGCATGATGTCGTGAGGGTGATCATCGGTGGCATGTCCTAGCTGCGTTGTGCACTTGTTATACATATCACTTATCAACTGTGTGTTCTACTCCATGGTTCTGGAAGCAGACCGTGCCTGCGCGCACGTGACCCACGCTGTCGGATGGCAGCGGTGCTGTGTCTTGTTGGCACAAGAAGCTTCAGCCTGGGTGGTTGTGTCGGCATCGCTTAGCTAGGCGGTGGAGCTCTGATGCTTGGAGTCTCGAACTTGGTTCTCACCGTTCGGACGTCCGGGTACATGTCGGCCGCGTGTCCGCAGTTCCTTGGTCGTCGGATTGGGCTCGGCCAGATACTCGGGACGTGACACTCCGACACCGATGCTTAGGCTCGAGCTTTGCGATGCTGAGGTCTTGGACACCGCCTGCTCAACTGCAGAAATGGTATGTCGCGCACACTTACTCGGCACTTCTCAAGGTTTATCGACCTAGCAAAGCTCCGAGATTGCATGCTAGGAGGTTGTGGTTGTCTTTTTCTGCGGTCGGACTCGTGCGGGTCTGTGCTCGTGGCCAAAGTGGGCATCGTCTCGGTAGCTGTGCTTCTGGTCTACTGAGAGAAGCCGGCACGCGGTCCGCGGGTTCATATGTACAGGGTGCACGCAGCCGGACTCGAACGATGACTCCTGTCGTGCCTCTCAAGACATGCTCTGTCTGTGCACATGGCTCGTGCGGCATTCCAGTACAGACATGGTATTTTGTTATGCTGACTTGAGACGCTCCGAGATTGACATACGCATCGTGCTTCGCACGACGCTACATCTCTAGTGCAGTGCTAGAGTTCCTCCACTGCGTAGGTTGGATGTGCACGCATGGTGGCTTCGGCTTCTTCGATGCTAAGGCGTTTTGGGTGTGCATCACGGCTGAGGGAGTCCAGATACAGAAACGTATGGCCGGAGCGTCTCAAGGCAACCCAATGTCTGCCGTTGTGGTTCTGCACCGCGCCCAGGCAGCCTTCCAGGTCCCCGACACACGTGGCTTGTTGATCTCTCATGCCCCAACGCACGCGGTCATGCCGTTGCATGGCTGTTGTCCTCAGTGCCATCATCATGACCTCAATGGAATAGTCCCCGTCCCTCGTCGTGTGCATTTCCAGATCGTCTCCCAGGTCGGGGTTCTCCACAAGGAAGGTCCGCGCTGCGTGCTGCATATCCTCTGCGCTGCAACATTGGAAACCTAGTACATTGTTCAAGGCATGCTGTCCGCATCGGGCTGCTTCCTGCTTCTCGAAGAACACGTCCTCCATGTCGCACGGGGCGTCTCTGCTGCCTTTGGCTGCTTTGCTGTGTCGGGACGGTGTCGGGTCGCATGCTGCGCCTCTCTTTGTGCTCTGTGCCTGTTCTCCTGCGACGCCGCTGGCTGTCGTGCTTGCTGCTGCTGTGGCTCCGGCTGCTGCTTTTGCTTTGGCCTTGGGCTTGGCCTTGGGTTTTGCCCGGCTCGGTTTGGCTGCTTTCTTCGGGCACACACGCTTGTGCGCTGCGATGGCAGATTTCGTGTTGGCTGTCTCCTCGCCGCACTGTGGACAGGTCCAGGGTTGTTGGTGGTCGCACTGCTCCTCCAGACCTGGGAGGTTCGGATGCGGTAGCTTTGCCAGCTCTTCGAGGTAGTGCGTTCTGCTGAATGGAGGTTTTATCAGCTGCTGCCATAGCTCGGAGCCTGTTCGGCCTGCTTGTTGTGCCTTCAGCCTGGTCAAGGCCCACGCCGCGTGGACATTGAACTTCAGGCAACTGGGGTTGAAGGCCTGCAGCGTGCAGTGTTGTCGGGTGGGACAGCGCGAAAGTGCAACGTAGGCTTGTCCCTGCTGGGTGACCGTGCTGTCGAGCTTGCAATGTGCGCCCTGACGACAGGTAGCAGCCTGGCTCTTATGAATGGTGATCGCCTTGGCCAGTACTAGCGGGAATTGCCTTCGCTCTGCTTTGTTATCCGTTTGGTCCTGGAAAGACGCCGTTCGTCGTGATATGCCCACCGCGTCGGTCTCGTTGTCCCTGCACCAGCGTTCGCCTGCTTTCCCTTCGAATTTCACCCAAATCTTCGTTACCTCGCCTGTGTCCTCCGCGTCGATGTGAGCGACGGTGCCGCAAGCGCCGTTCACGAGCTTGTCCGGCACGTCGATGTTGAAGCGGAGCATGACGCGAACACCCACGGCTATCTTGAGCAGTCCTTCCAGTCCTCCTGTGTTCTCCGGTTCGGCCCATGCAAGTTCCGGTTTCAGCGGCGCGCCTGTCTTCACGCTGACGTCGATGGCAGGGCATTCGTACAGGTTCGCACCGGTTTTCTCCAGATGTTCGTCCAAATATCGCTGATTTGCTTCGTTCACGGCGTGGCGAGTAGCGAAGAGATAAACTGCCCCGTCTGCAACTTGATCTCCGCCATCCCTTCTGACTTTGAGCCCTTTTAGGACCTCGATGTCGGAGTCGGTCCATTTGCCGATGCGCAGGCGAGCCAGCAGTGCTGCCCACTCAGGGTCTTCGGCGGCGCGCTGATTGCCTTCCAATTCGCAAAGCTCCAAGGAGGCCCATAGCGAGCTGCAGAAGCAGGGATCGCCACCTGGCGGCGGCAGCTGGTAGAGGTCGCCTGCGAAGACCACGTGTATACCCCCGAAGGGAATGTCAGGTAGGTTTCTGGCCAAGCGCAAGTGTTGGTCGATGCGGTCCAGCATGAAGCGGGAGATGAAGCTGATCTCGTCCACCATCAAGACCGATATGTGCGCCCAGAATTCTTGCATGGATGCTAGGTGGGGACCTCGCGGTAGCGGTGCATCACATGCTCTGCCATGGCTGCGGTTCACGACTGGAAGACACAAGCACTGGTGAAGCGTCAGCCCGTTGATGTTGCAAGCTGCAACACCCGTGGGTGCAGCAATGGCGACGCCCTTGCCACTTTGGCGGAGCATGTGCGCGGCTGCGCGGACCACAACTGATTTGCCACAACCTCCCGGGCCGTGGAGAAGCAGGCGCAGGCGTTTCGTGCTCGGGCCCGCCTTGGTGTCCGGATTGTCGATCACAGTGCGGATGATGTACTCCATGGCCTGACGCTGTCGTTTTGTGTGCTCTGATGCATCTGGAGCGTTAAGCAGGTCGAAAGCCGCCTCGCCGCCCTCCACCGGTGCGAAAGCAGTGCTGGCTGAGCCGGTTGGCACGGTCTCCGGAGCAAGGTGGTCGATGTTGCTTCCGTGCCTTTGTCGGAGCGCCTCCATGATTTCGAGGGAGTCTCGGTAGTTCTGCTCGTCTGCGCGGCTGTGCGACCACCCATCTCGCAGCTCGCTGGGTGATAGCTTTGCCTTCATGTACATGGCTGCCTGGACGGCCTGCAGTTTGCGCGCCGCTTGGACGGTGCCATCCATCTGGGGAAAGCAGATAGACTGCAGGAAGTCAGGATATGCTGCGGAGTCGCTTGCTATTCGATGAAAAGCGGCCGAGTGCCGTCCTTGGTCCTGCGGCTGCAGCCAGTCACCGGGGGTCTTCCAGCTTAGGTGGAGCAGCAACTTGGAATAGTAGAATTCCTCTGGCTGCAGATCGGGGCTGAAGTTGCGATATCCCACGATCGCTGGGCGTTCCCGAGGCTTCGGGAATTCCTGCCCGATGAAGCGAAAGCCAGCACAGAAATCGAAGAAAGTGATGTCCTTCCAGCACCGCTTCATTCGATGAGACGACCCTTCCACTGGAAGCGTGGTCTCTTGATCTGCGAAGGCTGTTTGCAGGTGCCGATAGCTTCGCTGTGCTGCTGGCATGGTCCAGTCCAGTTCCTGTTTCTTCTGGTAGTAAACTGTCGGATTTGCTAGGGCCACTGCTTCCTCTTTCGGTGGTACCCACAGAGTCCATGTTTCGGGCGGTCCCGCCTGGATCCATACGCTGTCTCGGGAGAATTCTACAACCGGAAAGCTAAGCAGCAGGTGGCATGCTTCGAAAGTGGAGGTGGTCCTGCCTTGCAGTGCCGCGTGTGCGGCCGCATAGACCTCCTGTGTCTTCAGCCCGTCCTGTCCGGCGTTAGCGGCCAGTCTCTCGATCACGGCCTCCATGCGCCGTGTCGCAGTGAAGTCCTCCTCGGACTTGAACGCATAGCCGAGGATGTAGCGGCTGGCGCTGGACAGCTCGCAGATTACCTGCAGATCCATGCTTGCTCTCCACCTGCGCAGCATCTTGGTGTTGTATTGCCCCATCATGCGATCTCCCTCACGCCGTCGGACCGTCAGGCTGCTTTTCCAGCGGCTAGTAAATAGTTCCTGGGCATCCCTTCTCCGAGCGCATGGCTCTGGAGCATGCGGGAATCCGAAGCGACATGCACCCAGAGCATACTTGCCGCAGTAAGAGTTGCAGGTGTGCACCACCATCTCCGCGAGCTTGGCGTTAACTTTCCGTTTCCAGGGATGCGTTGTTGCGGATAGATTCCAGCTGGCCGGTGACTTCGTGCATATGTACTTTTCGCACATCTCCTCCGCTGTTTCTGGCAGGAAACGGCTGCATGCTTCCTCATCCGACCAGGACACGTCGTTTGGTTTCTGAGCTGCAGGCTTGTTTTCCTTTTCGTGCGGCTGCCACCAGAGTAGAATATGTGCGTGTGGGTATCCTCGCTTCTGCCATTCTATGCGAACGATGTACTCGGTGACGCGGAAGGGTGGCGACTCCTTGTCTATGTTGTGGTGCTGGCCGGCAGCATCGGCTGCTGGTGCGGCTGTACTCACGTCATCTTCGTCTTCCGCAGCTGGTGGCTGGTCATCTGGGTCGGCGTCGGCGTCCAACTTGCTGTCCGTTTTGATATCTGGGGCCAACCATCGCAGGAATTGCCGGAGTTGGTGCATGAATTGGCGTTGTACCACTGCCGGATGCTGGTTGCACAGCTGGTTGGCGGTTAGGCCGTCCCATGCAAAGCCCTCGCGCTGG